GCTACGTTTTCACTATTGGTGGAACTGCATTTTCCTGGCGTTCTCAGAAACAAACACTAGTTGCTACATCTTCAAACCATGCTGAAATCATTGCACTGCATGAAGCAACTAGGGAGAGCATCTGGCTCAGAAATATGACTCAACACATTCAACAAGCCAGTGGATTATCAAATAATAAAGATCCGACGGTCATATTCGAAGACAATGCAGCATGTGTCGCTCAGACCAAAGAAGGATACGTCAAGAGTGACGGAACTAAACATATCCCACCAAAGTTCTTCTCATACACTCAAGAGCTTGAAAGGAACAAACAGATCAAGATTCAATACATCCGATCATGTGATAATGCAGCAGACTTATTTACGAAGGCGCTCCCAACTACAACATTTCGAAAGCACGTCCATAACATTGGAATGAGACATCTTCGAGATTTACACGGATGATAACTCGAGGGGGAGCATGTGCGGTTGTACTCTTTTTTTCCTTATCTCGGTTTTTTTCCCACAGGGTTTTTCCGAATAAGGTTTTTAATGAGGCAGCATAAACGCACATTGCATGGTGGTTATTCCAAGGGGGAGTGTTATAATATGTACAAGTGGAATAAACCACTATGCACAAAATAATTTCACTCCATTATTTGATGTTATGGGAATAGTGAAATGGGGTATGGATATTAATAATTGATGTGAATTGTGTCGGGAGAGTTTTGCCTATAAAAGGCACTCCAAGTGTAGAGAAAATTTGCACCATTGAAAGAAAGAAAGAAGAAAGAAATATTCAGTATAATTTCTATCCGGTTTCTATTTTGTGTTCTTTATCTTTCTCGTTTTTATAACATATATATATATATATTTTTTCTTTTAAAAAATAGTAGCAAAAGCATAAATAAATAAACAACTTAGATTGAGTTTTACTAAATTTATAAATAAATAGAGTTCCACTTTTTTAGTGAATGACCTTAAGCTTCAATTAAAATTATTTATTGGGGAATCATTGTGCACCACACCATTTGCTAACTTTTCACTTTACAAGAATTTATCAAAGACTGGTTCAATAGAGCTATTGTGCACAAACCTCACCGAATCCCCACACGTTTCTAACGCTAATTGTATGCTTCATTCATATTGCAGACATTGAAATGCAATTTTTCATGTGATATTCACATTTCACCTAGATCTTGGTATTGTTACAAGTTCATATTTACATTCAGAAATGAATTAGTAGCACTGTAGCAGCAAACTCGGCAAAGGAAAATTGTTGGGGCATGAAATGCCAGAAAACAAACATTTTGACAAATAATACAATCAATCGCGAAAGAGCAGATAGAGCCAATTGATATGTAGCTGATACAGAGCCAGTGTACTCTAACTGCACAAAAGTTGTTACAAANAAAAAAAAAAAAAAAAAAAAAAAAAAAAAAAGAAGAAGAGAGAGAGAAACTCCAGTTAGATTGTTACTTTTTTCATCTCACTTTGAAATCTGAGTGACATGCCATTAGGATACAGATACACACTTCCCTAATATCTATAAAATGTTTCCAATTTCATCCAAAAAATATTAACCTATACTGAAACGAGAATCCGAGGATCTTAGATTTGTTTGACGCCTTGGGACTCCGATTTCACAAGCATTCACTCTCGATGCAAACCGTAGTGAACAAAGTGATTCGCCCACGGATGAAGGATCGGGTGAAACATTGACGAACATCAATGTTTTCGAGTCTCCACCTAAGCAAGGCTGAAAATCGAGGAAAAATAAAACGAGAAAGTGTAAGCATCGTTTGTATTGATAGACCAGAAGCAGCTCAGAGGTAACATATTACCTGGAGAAGATATGTCAGCTTCGAGTTCCTAAACGGCACGTGCTCCTCTTTCTTTGCTAGGGAGAATATGACGTCACTTAATGATGATAAACTCTTATTGATTGCCTGCAAAAAATATATATAAGTCGGGACGTATAGATGCCAAAAGACTTTAGGAAAGATATAAACACAGAAATAAAATTAAAAATAAAAAAAAATAAAAAAAAATCTTGTGGCACCTGAGTTTCTTTTAGTCGATCACCAGTAGATCCACTCTTGGAGAGACGTTCACTGCCAGCAAGGTCGATTAGATTAAGCACTCCTTGGACCTGTTGATCAGTGCTCTGTAGCACAATAAGAGGTAAAATCCGTGAGTGAGTCTGCACTCAACAAGCTCAAAACATGAGTTAAGACGGTCAAGACTCGAAATGGCAATTACCTCATTCACACCCATTATTCGTAAAGTGAACACAAAATGGCTCCTCGACGATTGTTCATTCATTTGAGTTTTGCCGACAGACCTAAAGAAGTGAAGCACAAAATCTAATTAAAAAACAGTAAGAATTTCTAGACGTGGAAGCTTAATAGAGTCGGAAAACAGATAATTTGTTAAAATAGATCCTGATCATATTTTGTCCATACAAATAGATAAATCAAATTGATTAATGAAAAAGGAAAATGCTGAGTTGAGAACCTGCTCTGTGCTGCCCTCTCCAAAAGATAAGAAACCTGCTTACTACATCTGACATCCATAATTGTAAGATCAGAAACAAGCGTGTTGCCATTTGCATCGTGCTTAATGGCATATTGCCTTACAGAATTATCTGTACGTGACGCATCAAAGATTGATTTGTTTGGTGCTAACAGGTCCCGTATAGTTTCATTGTAAATTTCAAGCATGGACACCTGACAACAGCATATTAAAACCGTGAATAACTTAAAAACAGAAATGCAAGTAACACAACACGTGAAACCAAGAAATTCAATACAGACCTGCATTTCGTACTTCCACCCTTGGGCTTCTAGAATTTGCTTCGTCTCAAATACTTGCTCGAGGGATCGTGGGATCAGACCCTTCTGATCGGATGGCATAGGCTTTCCCATCATTGTGTATGTCTTGCCGGAACCCGTTTGTCCGTAAGCAAAGATACAGACCTGATTTGAAATGTAGTCAGAGATTAACAAAGTTTGCACGACAATATCACCATATTTTCTAATTATATTTTACTAAAAAGAAGAAAGTTTATAAAAAGACTTATTAAAATTTTCCCACCAAATATTATTACTTTATTTGGAAACATTGTATTTCTTATTAAAAATAAAACATTTAGAAAAGAACCTACCATTCTATAATTCTTATGGGGATTCCTAAATTAAAAAATGTCTATAATTATGTCAAAATTACTATAAAACAATTATAAAATTAAATTATCATAAATTAGTTATAAATTATAAAATAATATAAATTAGTATATATTTAATGAAAAGTCAAAGTTTAAAAATAGCGTAAAATTTATTTGGTTTTAATAGATTTGATTATATATATTTAAATATTAAACATATTGGGTTTTTTTCCTAATTTAATAACTATTGAGTTTTTCATCAAATTTTTCAGACAAACTATATATTGTTAATGAGAAGACATATAATAAACCTATATCTATATCCATGTATTATCAAGGAAAAAAGTTTATAAATAGGCAAAAAAAATCTTGTATTTTTTATAACTAAATAAATAGGTATTCTAATTCTAAATAATATACAATACTAATTGCTCATTTTTATATATATATAAAATAATAAATTAATCACATTTTTATAATTTTTTTAATTTCACTCATACTGGGCATGTAAAACTAAAAATTATTTTTTTATATTTATACGAGAATATTTTTTCCATAACTTATTTGTATTCTTTAGATCAACATTAGTGAAATCTATTTTTCTATTTTAATAGTCAACATTATTATTGAATGGCAACTCTTTTGTTTTATTAAATGATCTCAAAAATCAAAAAGGAAATAAAAATATCAAGTATGCCTTTGGCCGAATGTATTTATGCAAACTTAAAAAAAATAAAAATCTTAAACATATTAACTAGAAAAAAATTCACTAACAGTGCTCCTGTAATAGTAGTGATAATATGCAGAAAATTGATTTTTTAAATACGGAACTTTAGAAGTTTGTTGTGAGTTATGTTTGTTAAGTTGTATGTAATGTATTAGTTTAATATGTAATGAATTGGTGATTGAAAGTTTTGGCCATAACCAATTATATAGATAATTTTAAAAAATGACCAATCGAAAAAAATAAAAATATTGTTATACGGGACAAGTTGACATATATATAAATATCGTGTACAACAAAAATTTTCATAATGGATAATAAATTCACTTAATATGCTTATATGATTGAATTTAAAAATTTATTTAATACTTAGTATAATCAAATTGACATGTGCACGGATAAAAGAGTACTAGTATCCAATTAAAAGTAATGTTTCCATCATTAATTTGTGAACTAGAGAAAATCCATACGTTCAGAAAACGGTAGGACAGTTTATCTTTTTTATATCTTACCGCAATAAAATCCTCAGGAACAATTATGAATTAGCATAATTGCAGACACAAATTACTTGAAATGCCATGAAGTAAATCATTAGCCAAGATATAAATTGCAGAATCTTCTAATAAAGTTTTTCAACATCAACCAATACTTGTGAAGCATGAATATAAGGCACATATGATTTTGAGTTTACAAGAATAACATTACCTTATACCCATCAAGGGCACTCTGTACAAGCTGTGATATCTCCACAAAGACATCTTCTTGAGAGTTCTCAGGCATAAACACTTTATCGAAAGTGAAAGAATGCTTTTGGCCTAATGAAAAAGAGAAATAAAACAACTTTACAAGAATGTCAACGAGAGCTCAGATTTCCAAAGAACGTACATTTTCAAGCTTTTGGCAAAATACAAATTACCATTGTGTGACAAATCAATGCCTCGGCCCAGCTCTTCCATTGACATTGGGAACGAAACAACTTTAGCATCAGGTCCAACTCCATCATCAGACAAAAGAGGCCGAACTCGACAAAATACACGGATATTCCCCTTTAATTCCTGCATAAACATTATTGTGTTTAAAAAATCTCTAAGAAGAACTTTTGCTGAACTTTACATCAAGTATATTTAATTCTAAAAGATAGTACCAAGATAGTGTTATGCAATTTCTTTCGTAGTTTCTCTCCTTCTACGATCTTTAGATCAGCATCAGCCAGCCGATTTTTCAATTCCAGAATCAATGCACTTTGCTCCTCGAATTCAGTTCTCGTGGCCATTGCCGACACATCAGACAGCTATTAGAGAAAAGGAAAGAGACACAATAAAATAATCGTAAGGCAAAAGTCATCCAAGTTCTAGATGCAGTAATAAAAAAAAAAAAAAAAAAAGCTACAACAGTAACCTGCAATTTCCTATCAGCAGAAGCAAGCTGCTCTTGCAATTGCCTTATTTGCTCACTTTGAGAAAAGCATGTTGACTGAACCAAAAGAAAAGGAATAAGAAAGGGAGAAGGTTAACATTATAAACCTAGATCCATTACGGGGTAACAGATATTTAAGGAATAAACCTCCAATGAATTCGTTTTAGTAGTCAAGCTGTCCAACGCGGCAATGGATTTTCCAGTACATTCCTTGTATTTCGCCACTTCAGCTGATAAAATCTGAACCTGCTGCAAATGCCGATCACGATCATCTCTTACTTGTTGCAAATCACCTCTCAGACATTGAACCTCGTTTCCAATTGATTCCTTCTGTTTGATGGCCTCATCTTGTGAAGCCTTTGACATCAATCACACATTAATTAAAGATGGTTAGGAATGTCAGCAAAATAAATTTAGAAGCAGCACTTACATAACAAAGTATACATCATGTCAGACGGCTCACTAATACTGCAACACAGAAGTAACTTTTATTTGTTACTCTACACATGTTCGCCGTGTGTGAAATTGGATAACAGAGAAGTTTATCTCAAGTAAGAGAATCACGAATGTAGCTGTGAGTTTGGCATGACAACTTGAAAGGAACCAGAGCCTGAAAGTTATTAGATGCAAGGTGCACAAATCCTTAGTTATTGGCATTGAAACTGTAAAAGTAAATCCATTCCAATTCTTTGGTAACTTGGATCATGAGCAGGATTGCAAGAAAAAAATTAGGCTGCTCAATTACTGAAACTGAAACAGTAGGAAGGAGTTCTCTCCAGGGACCATCCTAGCAAACCAAGCTTGAAGAAAGCTAAGAACATTTCATCCTAGAGTAAAGAATAAATACACTTAGATATTATCTATCTAACATTCAGAGAAAACGGAACAGCTATTTGAATTTATTTCGATTTTGATTCTAGTCCCCTTAAGCTTATTCAGAATAGACTGGTTATTGTTGGACCATAACTTACATCCACACTGAAAATGAAATAAGATGCTTCTGGACATAATCAAAGTAAAACACATAAAAGCTTACACGCGAAGAATTAAGCTGATCTTGCAAAGAAGTATAGTGGCCCCTCAGAGAGCTTAGGTTCTCGACCACAGCTGCCTTTTCTTGCTCAACACGTTTGAGCGTCTCATTTGTTGTCTGAAGTTCTGACTGAAGTCTACTATTGTATTGTTGCAGACTAGTGTTGTACTCTTGCAATCGCTTGTACATGTCATTAAGCGATTGTATCTGCAAGAGAGACACAAATTTAGAACTACCATTTAGTAGAACCTGTTCAGAAACATGCATGCAGTTATATGTTCCACTACTTACCTTCTGGTTGGTACTAGCGTTATCTTGCTGAGATCTCTTTAGCTCTTCAGAAAGGGAAACCTGCATTCTATCAGCTGCTAGTCTGTATTCTTTCTCTCTACTCAACGAGTCCAATGCTTCCTAGTTTTATATAATTTGAAGACTTAGTTCACCATGTTTGAAATAAAGTATAACCACAATGCAGTATGCAGTGCATCACAGGCTCCACATACCAATTTATCCACTTCCTCTTTTGTGAATCTTTCTTGCAGTGCCTCCAGATTTTTTCTCAATTCCATAATAATTGTATTCAGCTCGTCCTCCTTTGCCTTCATCATCGACTCTGGAAGAATGATGACAGAAGAACACAGCTTTTAACACTTTAATAAATATAATTTATCTCTTACAGGACATTGGGAATGAGACTAAGAACCACTATTACCAATATCATTGCACTTCTTTTCTGCTGATTCCAACAAACACTTAAAATTCGCCTGTTCTGTAACGTAATTTCCTTCAAGCTGTTGAAACCACTTGATGCATTGTTTTAGCCTTTTAATGTAATCTGTCATTTGGGCACCTTTTTCCTGCAGAAGCATCAGATATCTGGACAATAAATCATAGCATCGTGACATCCAAGCTAGCACACATCCACAAGTGAACTAATTCTCGAGCTACATAACCTTGAACCTACACAGTCCAAAGTGCCTTTAAAATAAAATCTCCACTTTATTGTACCTTGTAGTTAAATCTGTTCTTAACTCTGAGCTTCTCATTTATCAATGCCTCCACATCCTCTTTGGTGAATTCAATGACACCGCCAAAGTGAGAATCAGAATTGCTGGGTGGCCCACTAGTCGGAGGCAGATCTTGACTCCCATTTACAACTGTGAGTGCCTGCCGGGCTTGTGCCCTCGTTCCAGCATTAGGTGGCATTTTTGTATTTCCAATCCTTCTAAACTTGCTCTGTTGAAACCAGATGTATCCACACATAAAAGAGAAAGGAAAAAAAAAAATATGTATCAGTGAAGAACCACAAATTCTCTCCAATTCGAGGATTATTGAATAAGGGAAACAAAAACGGAAATCGTCACTACCTGACAAAGTGCAACTTCTCTAAACTGACATATTAGTAAAAGTAGCTAAACCGGGAAATTTGAAGAAATTGAAACTCACTTGAGAAGGAGTTGAAGGAGGCTTGTTCTGGTTCTTCGAAGCCATATGAATGCGCGTGTATGCAGAGGTGGAGAGAGATGGAGATGGAGAGGGGAGGTTTTCAAAAGTAGGTGGTGGGCCCGTGGGTTTATTGCAATGGAAGTTAAGGCACCATTGCTTTCAATTGCAGGGATCAGAAAAACAACTCTTGCTCTTAAAAGGTCAAAAAGATGATGAGGAGTGGAATTACAGAACAGTAAAGTTGTTTAGCAATAGTCAATAAGAAATTTGGGAAAAAATCATAAGATTTTTCACTTTAGACTAGTTGGGACAATAAAAAATTGATCATTTCTTCAGGGTCGAGTGGAGTGGACATGTAATTTCGTTGAGATGTGAGAATTGACTGGGATTAGGGTTTGCAGATTAACTTGCAGTCTCTGAGAAAGAGAGGTTTTTCGAAAGTTATTGAGGCGGTATTGTTTGAAAGAGATCCGTTGCAAATGCAATTCGACAATTATGGCGTCGCAATTTCTTGCTCTATACCCTGTTTGGATCTATTCTTAGGGTCCTTTTTTATCTTTTTTATTTTTCTTCCCAATATGCAAACTGCAAAGAAAAAATTGTTTTGCTTAAACTGATGCGAGTAATTTATTTATTTATATATAGTAAGAAAATAATCATTTACTAAAAATAGTAGTAAAAATTTTTGAAAGTATTAAATGCATATATTTTTTTGAAACTTTTTAAATATAATCATTAACTGTTTCCATATACACGTTTTTAAATATGATCAAATTATATATGATAAAAAATATGGCTTCCTAATATAAATAATTTATCTGCAATAATTTCATTGTTATCCATAATAATAAATTACAAGATTGATTTTTCGTAATTTCATGTTGATAATATTTTGGTCACGGTAAATATTACAACATACTTTAAGTTCTAACCATAATATTAATTTATTTTTTTTAGAAAGATCACTTTTTATCCAAACATATTTATAAAAAATCATAACATGTTAGGTAGAATTTTTTCTTCCAATTAATCAGGCGAAATCAAATTGGTTAATTAATATTTGATAATATATTTTTTTTCTTAAGCTTTATATCGTTATACGTAAAAAAATAAATTATTCATCAAATTAATGTGATTTACTGTTTAAGAGATAATGACCAGATATATTAAGGGCGTGATTGTATATAATTTGTACAATAAATATCCCACTCAAAACTCAAATTTAACTCAACTTTAACTTAACTCCACTATTTTCAATATTATCAATATAATTAAATAATATCAACTAATCATTATTACACATCACATCAACTTTAATTCACTATTCACTCACTCACATAATTTTAACTAACTATCACTTCCAATCATTTTTTTCTACTTTTACATCAAATCAACTTTGCCAAGTCCTCGGTCTTTTTCAGCAAGAACACACCACCATCCCTGACTGACAGAATTTGCACCCATCTTTATGACATCAGCATCCATCAATCAACAAGATACCTTGGACTTCCCCTTGGCATAGGTAAATCGAAGAAGGAAGCTTTTGCCAATGTTATCCAATCTGTGAAAGCCAAACTCAACAGTTGGAAGAACAAGCTGCTTTCCCATGCTTGTAGAGAAGTGCTCATCAAAGTTGTCCTCAATGCCATACCAGTCTTCACTATGGCATGCTTCAAACTCCCTGGCATTGTTCTCAAGGAAATCTCAGGGCTGCGTGCTTCATTTTGGTGGAGCAAGGGTGAAAACATGGAGAGAGGACTTCACGGGAAGTCTTGGGATAAAATGACCATTCCTAAAGCAGATGGAGGACTAGGGTTCCAGGACATCAAACTCTTTAATGAAGCACTCTTTTGCAAACAGATTTGGAGAATCACTACCCAACTACATCTCTTGGTCAGTAGGGTTCTCAAAAGTAGGTATTTTCCCAACTCCTCCATATTTGATGCTGCTAAATCCCAGAATAGCTCATGGCTTTGGAATAGTTGGCTGGCTATTCTCCCTATCTTCTCAAAAGGGTTCAGAATTCAGATTAGAAATGGAGAGACAACCAAAATATCTGACATCAATTGGGTTCCCTCTATGCAAAATGCCAAACCTACACTGACGGAGCTAGTTAGGCACCACTTGATCTGGGTTAAAGATTTATTCAACAGCAATGGCAGGAGCTGGAACAACTGGTTGGTTTCTCAGGTATTCAATGCAGAGGAGAGCCAAGCAATTCTCCAAATCAATACCCTGAATCCTTGCAAAGATGACCTAATGTATTGGAGGTTTGATAAAAAATGCAAGCACTCAGTCTCTTCCTCCTACTCTCACCTCATTAAACAGAAAGTGCTTGAAATGGATATTCCTCAAAGCAGCTCAGCACAGGCAGCCATCTCTAGTGCCAGAAATAGAACTTGGAATCTGAAGGTGCACAATAAACTCAAACATTTGACACTCTTCCTGTTAAAGAAAACCTACTGAAAAAGGGACTTCAAATTGATCCTACATGCCAAAGTTGTGGTGCTGCTTCAGAGACAGTCAACCATGTTCTCTTCCATTGTGTCAAAGCCAAGTTAATGTGGAACATCAGTCCAGTGACATGGGATGGAATTGCTACTGATAACATCAAATTTCAGGATTGGTGGTGGCAAGTTTGCTCTCTCCCTAGATCAGATATTGCAGAGTCTCGCATCCAACTCACCACCTACATCCTTTGGTGGCTATGGAAGTCACAAAACTTGTGGATTTTCCAAGAAAAGCACCTGCCGACAAGAGTAGCTGTCTTGGCGGCAAACAGGGACTGGCTGGAGTTCATGGCAGCAAATCCTTAATAGGATTTTATTTTTCTCTCTCTGTTTTTATAAGTAGTCTTTTGTTTTTGCTTGTTCTTGTTTCTTTTGGTTTTGTTGGGTGTTTTTTCGGTTTCTTCTCCCCCTTCTGATTGTGGTTAGTCAACTGTAGTAGGCATTTTGCAGTGCTGTAGTTTGGCTAGTCCTTGTATTTAATTTGTTTGTATTTGCCCTCATCCCGTCTATGGGATTTCTAGGCTGCTTTATAGCGAGTCCTCCATGTTTTCTCTTTTCGGCTTTTGGTCGCGTCTGTATTTGAACTATTGTTCCCTGTTGGAGTTTTAATATATT